ACTCCATCCTCGTCTTCTTCAGTCCGTACAAGTCTACCGCTGGACACGTGCTTCTTCCTTTGTAGCGGGGGTTCTTTTCTTTTTTTCTTTTAAAAATTTTCCGTAGGCTTCACGCTTGACCAGGAGTCTCGCATCTTTGATACTGCTTCCTATCGCCAGTGCGGATAATTTGCTCTTGACACAATCTAAATAAAAATACCACCTATAGGAAAAAATCTACCAATTTATCGGAAAACATATGGAAAGATGAACGATATGGCAGCGCATAAAATACGAACAAACAAAAAATATTTTTATATATTATATTAGGGTTAAAAAGTAGCTAGTCAACCTTGTAACAGTCTGATGGTCTTGCTACTGCACTCCATCCTCGTCTTCTTCAGTCCGTACAAGTCTACCGCAGGACACGTGCTTCTTCCTTTGTAGCGGGGTTCTTTTCTTTTTTTCTTTTAAAAATTTTCCGTAGGCTTCACGCTTGACCAGGAGTCTCGCATCTTTGATACTGCTTCCTATCGCCAGTGCGGATAATTTGCTCTTGACACAATCTAAATAAAAATACCACCTATAGGAAAAAATCTACCAATTTATCGGAAAACATAGGATATTTTTGGCATTTCCTATAGTTGTTTATTACGACACCCAAGGGACGGAATGTGATTGGGTCAACAGACCAGCCCATTGACTGGCTTCAAAATAAAAAGACTTCACGCCTGAAGTACTCTTGACTATTACGATAATCCGCTGCACAGCTTTTAAACATAATTTTTTTTTAATAGGATAAGGGTGACAATCGCGCACACAGTCCACCTGATGGTAAGTGGTTGCTGTGACCCATATACATCTACATATATCTTCGACAACGAATCAAAATGCAGATGCGTTGTCACATATGAGGACCAAGATGGAACGCCTCGTTTCCAGTAAAATGGTCTCCGGTTCTCTACACTCACCATACGAAACACAGCAGCATTAAGCTGCTATTTTAGACTGGTATTCTGTTAAAGCGTGGCCCTTCCCAAGTCGAAGTGACTCATTCGTCCTACGACTATACGAGTAATATAGCTGCAGGATGGCTCTACCACGTAAAAGATATAATATCGGGTGCACTTCGGAAAGAGGCAACTTTCTACATGTTTTATTAATTAATTATTATTTACTAAAGCTACCTAATAAAAGCAATAAAACCATTTACACATTTTTACTAACTTATTCCACTAAATCACTCTCCTAGAAACTGGATGACATAAATTGGCCATTACACGATATACTGCAAGTAACATCTCAGCGGTACCGGCGAAGACAACATTATGGTAGCTCGTAGCTCGTTACCATTTAATTTTACGAACATCCAGCCGCTGAGAAACCACGTATCGTATCGTACACAAAAAATAGTATACAATGACAAAGTAGTTGAGATTCCAGAGTTGTGGCTCAAGAACCAGAACTCTCGAATCTCCCCGCTAATGAATCTTCGCTGATAAAATAGGCCTCTGTGGTTCAGGGGTAGAAACTATGGACTTGCATAACTGCCCAGCAAATACAAAGGTTTAGGGGTACGTGAGATCCATTGCTCACGTCCGTTTTACGATATCCCTTCAGGATCGTAGGATATATTTAAGGATTAAATACGTCGATTATCTATTGTTCATTACGATAAGAACAAACGCGCGCTCTCGATAATGGACGCATATGGTTATGAGTCTGCTGTTATCTACGCAAATAAGTATAGGCAAGGATGCGGAATTTAAAGAACATCAAAATGTTTGTTTCTTTATTATTATTATTTTTTTATAGAAATAGGGTGACAAACGAGCACAGTCCATCTGATGGCAAGTGGTTGCTGTGGCCCATAGACATCTACATCTATTCTCGTTTGCGAATCAAAATGCAGATGCCTTGTCAGCCTTCAGGGCTAAGATGGAATGCCTCTTTTCAAGTAAAATAGGTATCCGGTTCTCTACACTCCCCATACGAAACACAGCAGCATTAAGCTGCTATTTTACGCTGATATTCTGTGAGAGTGTGGTCCTTCCCCGGTCGTGCCGACCCATTCATGCTACAACTATATTATAAATATAGCTGCAGCTTGGCTCTACCACGTACAATGCTGCTGTGTTTCGTATGGTGAGTGTAGAGAACCGGCTACCTATTTTACTTGAAAAGAGGCATTCCATCTTAGTATGCTTCATTTGAAATAATATTTAAATAAATACATACGCCAACATATCATTGACGGTTGTATCATTGCCCTCGAAAACATTCGTTTCATAGGATAAAATTTTCCGGTTTCGCAGTCATGCAAATCCATAGCGTTGATGCCAGAGTTAAAGTGATGAAACAGGGAGCGTGGAGATTCGAGAGTTCTAACTCTTAAGCCAATACTCTGGAATCCGTACGACTTACTATTAATATTATTTAAGAATTTATTTAAATTTTAATAGGTACATAATAATTCCAAGATTTAGGCTATGCTGTGAATAAACCCATTAAAAAGCAATAAATAAGGTACATTGGAAAAATCTATATTATTTCCGTAATGATACAGCTACAATAATACATGAGTAATTTCTATTGAGGTAGTCAGATTTAGGGCAGTGTTAAAATTGTAATGAACGATGCCTGTTGTCGGCGTCGCCTCGGTCATCGGCCGCCACGACGTCGCTGTGAGGCTTGTTGCAACTAATATAGCAGGATGATCGTTGTTACTATGCTTTAAGCTATATTATAGTCAGAAAGCTGTAACGATAATGATAGAGCTGCAACTGTATTATGGTTGTAGCATGAATGGATTGGCTCCACCGGGGAAGGGCACCGCTTCAGGTATTCTGTATACCAGTGTAAAATAGCAGTTTTATTCTGTTGTGTTTCGTATGTTGTTACCCCACTTCTGCATTTGATTCTTAATCAAGGCTAGATGTGATGTATATGGACCACAAAATTCATATATAACAAATGGTGATGATATTTGATACATAATTTATTAAGTGACGTATAGCAGTAATTTAAAAGATATAAAAAATCATTTAACAGCTAGATAACAAAAATTAATTTAATATTTTTTTAGGATTTATAAATTCTGAAGCTCACTCACACGTTCATTAGATAATTTTCTTTTTATGTACTATATAAATAAACATAATTTCATTCAATGAGATCATAAAAAATACTGCGTGTTTGGCCTTTTCTATTATATAACCTAATATGAAGTCTACTTCTTACCAACGTTTTTGGAGCTATGATCGCAGTAATTAATTTAGTATTAATCCGGTTCGAATATGTTACTTGTTACAGTTTGTTAATCTCCATTGTACACTGTAAAAAAACTTAATATTATCATGCCCTATAATAATATGTCTTATTTTTCCAAATACATCTGCATTTAATTTATGTTAAGCTAATAATTCCGACTAAAATTGATCAGAAATAATAAACGCTTTGTTTACTTCTGATATAACACTTTATTAAAGTTGCTTAGATAGATGCTTTCACTGGAGGTTGTAAAAATAACTGTCTAGTAAAACTAACTAGCGTTAACGTGCTGTCCGCTAGCAGCGCTATGTTATTAACATGTTCGCCCATCCCTACTGAACACGGCATTGTGTGGTCAGTGCGGAAAACGTAGCCTTCTATTGCAAGTGCGTTAGTTCGTGCCTGTTTATTGGCCGGAATATACCCCTTTTAATGCCATCCCCGTTTGAATCTACTCAGTGAATATACTGTCTATTAGGTTAAATGCGCGGTACAACTTTCTTTAGGCTGTGTGGTTTGTAATTTTATTTGCGGTTCGTAGAGAGTCGTAGATCTATCTACGAGATATGTCTCGTCGGAAATGTCATAACTCTTTTGTTTTGTTAACTGAGGACTATTTTTGGTTTAAAACTTGCAAATTTAATTAGCGTAACGCTATGAGATTTCACTTTTGTCATTCGAGTCTAGTTTTGTCCGTGTTTACACTTTTAAAACTGGTCTGTTGTTTTATGTTCAATTTATTCTCGAATTACTTTTTTTTAATTTTGAATTGTCAGATTCTCAAATCGAATGTGTGTTTTTGTTTTGTATATGTATGTTAAGCGATATCTAAGTAGATTGTGAACCGATTTTAATGATTTTTTTTTATTAAAGAGGCTTTACCTCAAGGGTGGTCCCATTAAATTTTGAAGAAAAAATTGCGGTCCCCAGGGTGGAATATAAGGGGAAAAGTTTCATATTGGACTTTTGTTTAAGGAATTTCATATGATATCTTTATAGATTGAGAACTTATTTTGATTTTCATTAAATATTTTATACTTCAAGGGTCGTCCCATATAAATTTGGAGAAAATAATTCCACCCGTACCATGGTAGAAAATAAACAATTTCCTTTTTAGCAATTTGAAGTCGGTTTTTACATTTTTTAAAAGTTAAAATTATTATTTTTATACTCTAAACCTCAATAACAGTACCACTCTTGGACCTCACGATATAAACAGAAACTGATATAAGATTTTAATGAACTATTCGTATATTTTACAATTCTATGCAATTCGAGGCTTAGATTGCATGTCATACCTTCTTATCTTACCATGCCTTATATATAATTATAAATAATGCATGCTCAGTTATGAGATATGATTCGTAAATAGTTATATATTTTTACTACCTATATATTTCTTCTCTCGTATACACACAACATAGTAGGTATGCTAACATTATCAATACTTGATATAGTATCCATCTTGTTTACTTGATAGTTCATATTTAGACATTTAGATTATCTCATTGTACTTGTCATAAATTTGCAGTATTGGACTGCTTCGTATAAGACACTCACACGTCATATAAATTTCTCGCAACGCACGCCACTTAGATCGCTTTCTTACTATCCAGTTTCACTTTAATCAGTTCATTGCTTCAGTATTATCCATTCCATAGACATGTATTTCATATAACATAATATTTTATTGTTTTAAATTTATGTAAATAAAAATACTCCTCAGTTAATGTACATATTTATTAATAAAAATGACAAACGATACACCTCACAACTCCACCGAAACGCGGGAAACCCGTGGTACCTGGTTGCGGAAGTCCGACGATGTGAAGATCGAGTTCGGCTTCGGAATGCCTTTGGGAGCCATGTCAGCACACCCCGCATTCCATTCCGCGTGGGACCTCGGCTGGTGAGTAAAATATTGGATCTCTTTTTGAAAATAATTAAAAATTAAAAACAATGAACTAGGTTTGCGTCAGCTTTAAAATACGACTTTTGAATGGAATTATTTCGTATGGAAAAATCATGTGTGTGTGTGTTCATTATATTTTACCTGCCTCAATGGCAACCACAATTTGAAGGCTTTATGAAAAAAATGGAGCGGGATTTGAACCAGCGATCTCGCAGCGCCGTAGCACATAGCCATTGTTCTACTGAACTGTTAATTCAATTTGTTATAACCCTAAATTCTTTTACATACCCATATATTATGTATTAAAAGCAAAACTTTCTCGTTGGTCTAGTGACTCCAGTGGTCGTGAGCACGACTGTTGGTCATGCGGTTCCGAGTTCAAATCCCGGAACTATAGAGTGCACCTGCACTTGTGCTTGTGCACACACACGTGCACTATGATCCTCTACTGCGCATTAGTCACCCTTGAGACGAGCTGCCGTGACCGACAGCCGTTCTGAAGGATGTTATTAAGTTATTATTATGTATCCCCATATAGTACTTACACGAGTAAATCAATTTCGATGACTACCGCTACTAATGAATTTGTTTATTGACATTTCGAAAGCACATACAAAAATAAGCATTAAGGTAACACGGGAGACACTACTTTCCCTCAAAACCTCTACATTAATTAGAGGGACTCTGTGCGTTAGTATAGTACATATTAAAGTTAAGTTACAGCCTATATACGTTCCACAGCGGGGCACATGCCCCCTCTTATTTCTGAGAGGGATTTAGGGCAAGGAAGTATCCGCCGCGCTGCCCCAATGGGTGTTGGGGAACTTCACGTCTTCGAAATGTTTTTTTTTCTTATTTCTCTGATATGCAGTTTTCCTCATGATGTTTTCAACGCCGAGCACGTGTTAAATCAGAACTTAAAACTGTAATTAACAATTTCATTAATGCCGGCGGGGATCTAACCCGGGATACTCGCTGAGCTACCACGACGCCGCGCCTAGAGCCGTGGTTGGTCAGTACATATTATGTACTTTATCTATATATTTGTATGTAAAAGTGTACATCAAATAAATGTCCGTTTCTATGTCCGCCTGTAAGTCCTACACAAGTCGCATGATGATATTTTAATCGATTTGTTATAATTACATGCATAGACTATAATATGACGTAAGCATTCAATAAATATGGTGAATAAATATGTCAAAATTTTGGCGCCTCGTAAAAATGTGTGAAATATTGTCAATGGTATCAAGTGAAAGATGCTATTGAATACATTGCATCTACACATATAAATAAAATTGAAGTGTAGGTCTGTAATATAGAGATAACTGACTTCTATTAAGCTCAAGTGGTTAAGTGCACGCTATTAAGACATTAACAACCATTTTTAAATTTGTCTGTCTGTCCGAATTAATCTTCGGAATGGTTGAACTGATTGCGATATAATTTAAAATTAAAAATTTTGTACAGCCGACTTCAATATAAGCGACTTCAATATAAGTTATTTAAGAATAACTCAATAACTATTGGTCTGACCTTGATCAAATTCATATGGGACCACACGAGAACTATCAGCTTTCATATAAAAAAAGAATCATCGAAAAAGGTTCCCCCAGTATAAAGTTATGAGGTAACACACATAAAAAAAAACATACACTCGAATTGAGTACCGTCTCCTTTTTGGAAGTCGGCAGAAAACTTCACGAATGAATAGAGAGCAATACCAGGAGTAATCTATGCTTAATTTTTTTTCGAAAATAAAATTGGCGAATTTTTTGAATATTGAAAAACGCCACAGTACCATGGTATAGCTCCCCCGTACCGTGCGTGCTGCAAAGCACCCGAAACGTGGGGAATTAAAAATAAGTGTTATTAAACACGATAAAATCCGCAAAAATCGTTTTATTCAATGTGTAGTGTTCGCGTAAATAAAAGAAATCATTATCAAAATACAGATAAAATAAATGAGTTATGTTGAATATATTAAATCATAAATCTAAATGACGCCACTTTAATAGATCGAATCAGGCGAAGCTGGGGTGTGTCGCTAGTTAAGTAATAAAAACGTTATTTAAAGGAGAAATAAATTCATCCGAAGGAGATATTGACCGTTTTCAAATCATGTTAATGTGGAGTTGTTGCGCCCCTTACAAGATCGAGACTGATGTGGATTGTGGTGAAGCCACAAACAAGATTCGCATCGCGGGTCGAGAAGATTGGTAGTGCTTACGGGCACACGTTTTTTCTTCTTAGCCCCATAGCTTCCACGTAACGGATTCGAAAGGTTCCGTAACGCAGGTAGAAATTCAGACCATTTAAGAAGGTGCCCCTTGTGTTCCGGCATTTCAAGGGGAAGGAATTTTCCTCTCCAGAGAAAGGCCCGAATTGAGGTGGATGGCGCTGGAATGGCCGAGGATGTGTGTGAAAGCGTGGCCCTGCCGATATGCAATGAAGGTGGAACGCCAGGGGTTCTTTGTCGTTGCGAGTCCGACATAACCCGTGCTTAGCCCTGCAAGGCGGTTATGCGTAGGCAATTCCATGAAAAAATAACCCTTTCTAAGCCATGCTAAAAAGATCTTGAAATATTTTGCTTAAATTAAAAAATATATTTTTGACTTTGATTACAAAAGAGTATATTACACTATAATCTTTCTATCTTTTTTATAGGATAGAGTGACAAACGAGCACACAGTCCACCTGATGGTAAGTGGTTGCTGTGGTCCGTAGACATCTACATCTATCCTCGTTTCCAAATCAAAATGCAGATGCGTTGTCACCCGTGAGGACTAAGATGGAATGCCTCTTTTCTAGTAAGAAGTGTCTTCGGTTCTCTACACTCACCATACGAAACACAGCAGTGTTAAGCTGGTATTTTACGCTGGTATTCTGTGAGAGCGTGGTCCTTCCCCCGTCGAGCTGACCCAACTATACTACTAATATAGCTGCAGCATGGCTCTACCAAGTATTAAAATATTTTTACAGAGTCCAACTCAACGCTAAATACGAAAACAGACTTCTTGTTTTTGAAAAACAATGTTTGTTAATTAACAAATTAAAACATTTATAAAACTGATCGTATGAAACATCATTAAGGAATGCATGAATGATAATACTGTATATACCCCTGGGACTAAGGTGATTGCAACCCCAAGCTATATTTTAAATTATTAATTTAAATAATTATACCACAATACCGCTGGGGTTAGTGCTAGTTCTACGATAGAGGTATTTCCCGAATCGCTGGTGAATATTTTTTGATTTAAAGTGTTATGGCATCATCATCATTACAGTCTCTCACAAATGCTCCCTCTAGAAATGTCACAAAACACGGTCCTAATCCACCTGAGTACCATCATCTTCCTGTATGTCTTAACAGATCGTCACTCCATCTAGAAGAGGGCCACCGTACGCTTAACGGCACAATGTTGTCACTCAGGAACCTTTCTTCCCCTTCGGCTCATATGTTGCCACTTCAGCTTACTGATCCGTTTGGCTATGTCGGTTAGTTGCAGCACATGTCTATTGCGGATTCTATTATTCAAAGTATTATCTTTATTGAAAAGTACTAATTTTACGGTTTTATCACTTTTAATTTAACTTATTTTTTATTCCTGACGTTTCGGGTGCTTTACAGCATCCAAGGTCACGGAAGGTACTGAGATGTTTCATGTCCCGGTGTCATAGTTAGATCGGGATACCTTCAGCTTCGCATTGGTATTGGTCCTCAAAGTACCGCAAAGCACCAGCTGATTACTGACCCACAGTACGGTTTCCGTCAGGGTCGCACAGCTGGTGATCTTCTTGTTTACTTAACACATAAATGGGCGCAGGCGATTGAGTTCAAGAGGGAGGCATTGGCCGTTAGTTTGGACATTGCGAAGGCCTTCGATTGGGTCTGGTAATCGCTTCTTTCGAAGCTTCTTTCCTATGGACTTCCCGAGAAATTGTGCAATTGGATCAAAAGTTTTCTACCCGATTAGAGCATCATAGTCGTAGTAGATGGGGCATGCTCCGATTACAAGCCTATTAACGCTGGTGTTCCACAAGGTTGCGTGCTATCACCAACGCTGTTTCTTCTGCATATGATATGTTGCAAACCGGTAACATTCATTGCTATGCGAATGACAGTACTGGTGATGCTCTATACACTGTCCGTGCCAATATTTCTCGGGAAAACGTCGCCGAGTACCGGAACAAACTTGTGTCTGAAGTCGAGTCTTTGCTGAATAAAGTCTCAGATTAAGGGCGATTAAATCTAGTCCAGTTTAATCCTCAGAAGACACAAGTTTGCGCGTTTACCGTTAAAAAGAACCCCGTTGTCGTATCTCCTCAGTTTCAAGGTACTCCCCTTGTTGCCTCAGCCAGTATCGGAATCCTCGACGTCGACATATCGAGCGATGTGCAGTTTCGTGTTCACTTGAAAAAGAAGGCCAAATTGGCCTAAAAATATTGGTGTGCTCAACAGAGTGGGACTATTTCATGCCGGCATACCGCTTGCAACTTTACAAGGCGTAGGTTCGGCCTCACATGGAATACTGTTCCCATCTCTGCGCTGGGGCTCCCCAGTGCCAGCTCCTTCCACTTGACCGCAGCACAGCGGCTCGAATTGTCAACGCCCGAGTCCTTGCCGATCAGCTTGATTCACTGGCCCTGCGAAGAGATGTTGCATCCCTTTGCATTTTCTTTCGAATCTACCACGGGGAGTGCTCTGAGGAATTGTTCGGATTAATCCCAGCCGCCAAATTTCAGGAACGCACGTCGCGGCAAAATTACCGATTCCATCCACACGATCTGGATGCTTGGTGCTCTACCACTGTACGTTTCACTAGAAGTTTTCTTCCGCGCACGACCTCTCTATGGAATAGCTTACCACCGGCAATTTTTCCGGACCGATCGGACTTAGGGACCTTCAAAAAAAAAGCTTACACCTTTCTAAAAGGCCGGCAACACACCTGCAATTCCCCTGGTGTTGCGGTTGTTCATGGGCGGCGGTAGTC